CTGACTGTGGTTTTTGAGAAAGAGTAGTAAAGGAATATGAAAGGAAACCCCAAGAGTCAGAATCTTAATAAGTAGGAGCCACATCATTTACAAAATGCTAAGGAAAGAGAGAATGCCAGGGGTAGCATGGTCAAGCACTACAAAAGTTTCAAAAGGAATGAAAACAACAAAAAAAAGAGGCTACTGGTTTGGATAATGGGTGTTGTTAGAATGGTAAGGAAGAAGAGAAGAAAAAAGAAGGAAGGGAGAAGAGAGGGAGAGAGGGAGAGAGGGAGAGAGGGAGGGAAGAGGAGGGAACCCGTATGAGAAGTTGGCCTTCTGTCTCTTAGAACAGTGCTGTTTCCAATATAACACACAGCCAAGTGGATTATGGTAAGCATCACAATCACGTTCATAGGAAGTGATACTTGGAAATGAGAGGTCATTCCCAGCGCCCCTCCTATCATCTCACACATGAAGTTGTCTCCCTGGCTGCCAGGTGAGGCTGGACCCAGCGAGGGGGTGGCTGCCACCAACTCTCTATATATTATCAGCCTGGCCAGTGTCCAGACCCACGGAGCTGGGGGTGTCAAATAGCCCGAGAGTAGGCTGGCGTTGTAGATCATAGAGCCCCTCCCTACCCTACCGAGGCTTAAGGATGTCTAAGTTCAGGGGCTATTCAACTCAAGCAAGTTCAACCCATAGCACACCATAACCTTCAGAGTATCTTGCATGATCTTCCCCATAAGTTCTAAAACATGGCCTGGTCGGTCTCAGCTCTACTTCACCTATGAGAAAGAAGAGGTAATGAGGCCACCCAGCTGTCAGGGGGTCACACGGGAATCAAATCTAGCAGGCGGTGTACAGAATAGGAGTCCAAATCCTAATTCTTGGCTCTAAATTCATGGCTTTTTCTGAGTTGCTATCATGGTCCCTCAATCCAACATGAATGGCCAATCAACACTGTTACAATCATTTCATAGTCTCTTAGTACCTCCTCCAAGGGAGGGAACACACCTGCCACCCAGAGGAAAGATATTTGACAGGGTAAACTTGAATGGCTGCCTGGAGTGTGGAGTCTTCATTGTTCCGAAAGATGCACTGCGTCTCATTTCCTAATATGGAAAATGACAATAATGTCATCTGCTTGCTCTAGCTGAGGTGGCCGTTGCAAAGCTTAACTGAAACAACCTAATAGGAAAGAATTTTGAAAACACTGGACTTGGCATGCAAATGAGGGATCCCACCTTAGAAAGACAGCCTGCTTCTAAATTTCTGATCTTCATGAGCATTTCCCAGCCTGGCAAATGGACTGGGCTGCAGAAAGAGCATTTGCCCTGGACCTTCCCTCACAGGTGAACGGAGCTGCCTCTAACCCACTGCAAGGGAGCCGCCCTATGCTGACAACCCCAAGAGCTTCTGCTTCAGCTCAGGGCTTGGTACACACCCCATGCTTTGCTTACTCTCTTAGGAGTGTGTCGGCTTGTATCAATGAGGCATTTTGCTGGAATAAAAGTCTCATCCCCAGCTGCCATGACTTATGACAACATCAATGCATCCTGAAAGCTTCCAGGTAGACTGAAAAAGGCTGTCAATCCTGTGTGTTTTTACAAACATAAATATCCTTGGTCCCCTGCAGACCCAGGGCCACAAGCACCTATAGCCCTGAGATGTGCCCTTTGGGGCAAAGGGAAATGCACTGGAGATGATTTGGAAGGGGGAAGAGGACAGAGGGAAGGCGGAAGCACAGAACAGAAGAGCAAAGGAAGGGAGAAAGGAAAGGCTGCCACGGGCAGTGGGAGTGGGGAAACTTCCAGCCATCTGGACCCCCCACCAGCCCTAAACTGGCTTCTCTCTAAGGGTCCTCAACTCCTTGGGGACCACGACACCCTTGGAAAATCGCTCTTGAAAAATATGCATGCACACGTATGTGTACCGTCTTGCCCACAATCCCAGGGGCTTTTCAAACTCCTGCCAGGAGTCCCATCCTTCCTCCACCGATGACCGGTCTGAGACCTCAGGCTTCTCAGGGGAGCACTACTGGAGCAGCAAGGGGGCCCGAAGACGGAGCTGGGAGCTGGGGCGGAGGGGCAGTGTCTGGGGTAGGACTGAGTAATAATGCTGCTCTTGTCTTCTCACAACATATGTTCCCTTAAATCATTGCTTCAGGCATTGATCCAAATAAAAAAGACAAAATCATAAATGCCCCCAGGCCAGACAGATAGAAATAGGTAAACAGACAGACGAATAAATATATAAATAGCCCTTCCACTCCCCACAGAAAATACAATTGTACCGGAAGTTTGGACCCCCTCTGCTTCCACACCAGGATTCCCATCGTTACCACAACTTGAACAAAATCCACCAGATGTCCATTTGCTCTTGGAAAATAACTCCAAACAGATACATTTCTAAGACGGTGATAATCCTATACCTCCGTCTAGCCAAGACATTCTGTCCGTCTGCTTCTCCTGGCTGCAATCTGCCTCCATGTAGGAATTTTCCATCCCCCTCTAAATGTAATGTCATGCAGAAGACTCAAAGGGAAAGGTAAAAGGATTAGTAGATTGATCGATGGAAGATATTAATGCTCTTTCATGTTGGGTTGAAGAAGGATTTGAGGTCATCGGGAGAGAGGGTAGCAAGAGAATAGATCTCAAGTATTCAAAAGACTCTCTGGATTAAAATCCTATTAAAGTCACATCAGCTCCTCCAGGAGGCATTTTAGAAGGTTGGAGTCTCTTTAACATGTCACCATAATTAACCTTCCCTTAAGCTGTTTTGGGTGGGGAACTTTGGCAATTAAGAAACTGGAAACTTTCATTCTCTATCATCCACATGGCCTTTTGAATGGCTTAAAAACTAGAGTGAAAAGTGATTTAGCCTAATTGATTCGAGGGGTTCAGATCTCCCACTTCAACCTGCTGTCAGACTCGCTCCTGAGATCTTAGCCCCTCAAAAGAAAGGGCATTTTGTCAAGTGACAGAATCAAAGATTCAGATCTACCACGATGCCTTTCTCCCTCTAATCATTCTCCCACTGAGCTCCATGGCAAGAACGACTCTGCAAAGGGATGGGTTGTTTTCCCTAAAAAAAATCTTTCTGGGCCCAGACTGCAATTCTCAAAACCGAGAAACCCAAGAGCCGCCCCTCCCTGCAGGGGTGAGGCTGTGCTGTTCGAGCAGGACCAGCACCCTTAGCAGCCCTTCCGTTATGTGGACATTGGGGTCAGGAAACTGTGTCAGGTAGGGACAGCCAGTATGGGATGGGATGACCGACCACATGAATAAATAAAATGAAACGTGTTGTTGTCAAGGGTTAGTCCCTCCAGGATTGTCTTCACAGGTCAGATGTCAACCAGTTTCAAAGGTCAGCACCCTGCCAGATTCCATCACCTTGTCCTCGTTACAGAACCTGTCCCTGGACTGTATTCACCTGGGTGTCTTGTCGCCCTGGTCAGCCTGTGAGCACCTTAAGAACGGGTAGTGTTGGGCCTCTCTCCCCGCAGCTCGCATCACCAGGCCTGGCGCAGAGAAGCCCGCGACACATGCTTACCCACAGCGGCACAGAATTCACTCTGTGCCTTAAGGCAAGTCATGGCCTCCGTTTTTTCCAATGAAAAATGAAGACGTCCGTTGGGCCGCACGACCTTTGAGGTCATTTGCCAGGTCTCAGATTCTCTGGAAAAGTTGCTGTGTACAGGCTGGCTTTTCACAGCTCCTGCGCTGGGGCCATTATTTATAGTAACAGTGATGATAACGGTTAAGAATAGAGAATATGTACTAAGCCCTTAAACATGCTCTGCACCGTTCTCGATGCTCCACCGGTGGTGTTTCATTAACCCTACGAAGCAGACACTCTTGTTACTCCCATTCGATGCAGTGGGAGATTGTGAAGGTCAGTCATCTGCCCAAAGTCACCCCTGGTTCAGGGGTCTGGGCTCCTAACTACTGTTGCACGTCCCCGTTAAGAACCTCCTTTCTGAGCCTCCAGTTCAGGCGACCAGCCCTTCAGCTGATCTACATACATTTTCCCTGCCTCCCCAAGGGGCTGCCTGCCTGCTTGTCAATTGCTTTGATTTCTTACCCCAGGGCCCCAGCCGGCCCAGCCTCCACCTGCTCCAAGCCAGGCAGTTAGCCCCAGGATCCGGCAGGCCCTTTGTCCTGAGGGCCTGCAGCTCCTGTCGGGAGCAGGTGGCCGGAAAAGCAAGAGAAGGCGGTCATCAGCGAAGCAGCTCGGGAGGTGGAAGAGAAGGAGGGCAGAAAGGGTTGAACTGAGGAGGAATTCCAAGTGGCCGCCCCTCGGTGACCTGAGCCCATGTGCGAGGCCGTCTGGGCTCCACAGGGGCAGAATCGGGAATAAACTTCCTTGTCCTGGTGATAGCCACAGAAGGATGGGGGCAGGAAAACAAGAGAAGTCTCCTAGGAAGGCCCTGGGGGTATCTTTTAGAAAATGTTTCAAAGGCCTCTGCGAAGAGGTGGGTCTCATTTGAAAGCCTGTCTGCCCATTCAAATTGTTATTTAAAATAACGTTTGAAATCCTCCTGACCTAAATTCTTCAGTGTTGGCAAAAAACAAAAACAAAACAAAACAAAAACAAATGCAAAACTTTTGATTTTACGGTAGGAAAAAGCGTTTTGATTATTTAAGAGAAAAAATAGTTCATCTCGGCAATCGCACTCCTAAGTATTTACCCAAATGAGTTTTTGACTCACATCCACACACAACCCTGCACGCGAATGTTTATAATAGCTTTACTCGTGATTGCCAAAATTTAGAACATAAAAAAATTGCAGCAAGAGAAAGAAAATTATTAATATAAGAAATCTCTATCTTGAGGAAGTGAAGAAAGAACTAACATTTACTCAATGTCTAAAATATCCAGGGGTTCCTCCAGGTCCCTAACATACACCTTCCAGATTAATCCCCCACAATGGTCTACCAGAGTGGATGGTATTTTTGCCACTGTTTCTTGAAGAGGGCGTCAAACTGCTGGTGTTGCAAAATCCCTCTGTTTGTTACCTGTGTCTTTCTTCTTATCCCGGGAAAGTTCATGGACGGTGGCACCGATGTCATGCCTCAAGATCTTGATGATGTTTGCCAGGACAGGCATGCTACGTTTATCCAGATAGGTAAAAAATTCATACTCATCTTTCTTCAAGCGCGAAGGTCTGGATTCAATGTGGGTCAGGTTTATATCATTCTCCTAAAAGAGAGAAGCAGGAGGGCCGAGGGGCCTGTCAGTGGAATTAACACAGACAAAACCTGCAAAACCAGAGCAAAACACACAACACGATACAAGGCAGAGAGAGGAGGAACAGGACTTTTGTTACACACGTTGGAGTAGAAGCAAGTCCTTCAAGTAGCAAAAGTTGTTTACTTTTCTTCGGCAAAACCAAGTAACAAAAGGTGGGGGAAACAGTGCAAATGACAGAATTTAATCACGTGGAAATCTGCTAAAAGCCTAGTGTTGCAAACCTAAGATTTTGGTTTGGTTCAAATGACTAGAGCAGCGGTTGCCAAAAATGTTTACATAAGGAAACCTCCTTTCCCAAATAAAATCCCATAGAATCTCAATAATAATATCTCATTAAATTAACAATACAGAAGCAACATTGCCTGGTTTTAAATAGGGCCCAGGGGAGTCAGGCTTATTGGGTTTAAATCCCTTGTAGTTCGGGAAGTGTATCTTTCTCCTTGATTGTTAGTAGCATAGGGTTGAAGAGAAAATATGGATAATTACCATGATGATACCTTTTCATTTTGAATTTTTGAAGAATTGTTTAATGTTTATTTATTTTTGAGAAAGAGAGAGAGACAGAGTGTGAGCAGGGAAAGGGCAGACAGAGAGGGAGACACAGCATGTGAAGCAGGCTCCAGGCCCTGAGCTGTCAGCACAGAGCCTGATGCAGAACTTGAACCCACGAATCACAAGATCATGACCTGAGCCAAAGTCAGAAGCTTAACTGACCGAGCCACCCAGGTGACCCAATAACATTTTCATTTTGAGTATTACTTCACAGTTTAGAATTATGTTCTATGACCTTCCCAACAAGCCTTTGAGTAGGTTAAGGGGGATGTAATAAGTGAAATCAGAGATGATGGTGCTTTGCCGAAAGCGGCTGGAGAGAGAGGACCATTTTTTTCCAACCTGGGAGTCATGGTGTTCTGACTACACTGCCTTTCCTGCCAGATACAGTGAGGATTCTGCAAGCACCAGCTTTTATCATTATTACTACTAGTGTGGCAAGCACAAGAAATGAAACCCTCTGGAAATAGCAAACACAGCAATAAGTAACCCCATACAGGTACTCTTCCTGAACTTTCTTCCTCATAATCCCTGAAGGCACATGATGGAGCCATTGTTTATGGGCACCAGCTGCAGAAAATATACCCCTAACAGTGATGGCCAGGTAGCCCAATTTGAGGGCCCCAACTGAAGAGAGAGAGAGAGTGCTTAGAGGAGGGAAGGTCAGAGAGATAGCGGTTGCTCTGAAGCTTTCTAGACAAACAGAGGTGACTTCCTAAACAAAGCAAAGAGCAACGTCATCCTCTTGGCTCAGAAAGAAAGAAAAGGGATAAGTTTCATCTACTATTTGCCTAAGTTGAAAGTTTAAAAGAAGAGATAACCAATTCCTGCCTTGTGTAGACCAGAGAATACATCAAAGCCAAGAACCGAGAGTGGACACACCTCTGGCATGCTTATTTACAAGAGTACAGCAGGGGTGGGAGGGGTAGGAAGGGGTGGGAGGTGGAAAAGGGGCTGGGAGGGCTGGCAGACAGACTATAGGCTGTTGATGTTCAACACCCACACTCTACCCTCAGCAAAAGCACTTCCAGAGAGAAGTCTCTCACTTTCGCAATAGCCATGACTCAGTTTTTATGATTCTGGAGATCTAACATATGGGGGAAATTTTCACCAAAATCCGTAAGCTAACTAAACTCCTGCTATGGGAGAATGATTAGGTGAATTGCAGTGGAATCACTCCGTGGAGATTATGCAACCATTGAAAAGCAAGTAACAATCACAAGTCAATCAGCATGGTACACCATTAACACATTAACAAAACAAAGGATAAAGCCACGCAGTCATCTCAATAGACATAGAAAAAGCATATGACAATATACAATATCCATTTATCATAAGAACTCTCAACAAAGTAGGGTACAGAAGGAACATAACTCCACATAACAAAGCCTGTATATGGCCAACATCTTACTCAACAGTGAAAAATTGAAAGCTTCTCCTGTAAGATCTGGAACAAAACAAAACATGGAAGTCCTAGCCAAGCAATTAGGCAAGAAAAATAAATAAAAGGCATCTAAATTGGAAACGAAGAAGTAAAACTATCACCATTTTCAGATGACATAATGCAACATGAAGAAAACTCTAAAGATTCCACCCAGAAACAACTGGAACAAATAAATATATTCAGTAAAATTATGGCATATAAAATTAACATTCAGAAATCAGTTGAGTTTCCATATGCTAATAATGAGCTATCAGGAAGAGAAATTAAGAAAACAATCCCATTTACAGTTGCATCAAGCAGAATAAAATACTTAGGAATAAATTTAACCAAGGATGTGAAAGACCTGTACTCTGAAAACTATAAGACATTGATAAAAGAAACTGATCAAAGAAAAGAAATGGAGAGCTATACTGTATTCATGAATTGGAAGAATTAATATTATTAAAATGTCCACACTACCCAAAGCAATCAACAGGTTAAATAAATGAAATCCCCATCAAAATACCAGTGTCATTCTTCACAGAATTAGAACAACAAATCCTAAAATTTGTATGGACCCACAAAACACCCTAAGTAGCCAGGGCAATTGAGAAAGAAGAACAAAACTGGAAATATTATATTTCTTGATTTTAAACTACACTACAAAGCTGTAGCAATCAAAACAGTATGGTACTGGTACAAAAATAGACACCCAGATCACTGAAATAGAACAGAGCCCAGAAACAAACCCATGGATATATAGTAATTAATCTATGACAATGGAGGAAGAATATGGAGGAAGACAATGGGGGAAAGGACAATCTCTTCCATAAATGGTTCTGGGAAAAACTGGACAGTCACATGCAAAAGAATGAAACTGGGCCACTATCTTATACCATACACAAAAATAAATTCAAAATAGATTAAAGACTTGAATGTAGGATCTGAAACCATAAATCTCCTAGAAGAAAACATAGACAGTAAGCTCTTTGACATTGGTCTTAGCAATATTTTTTGGACCAGCCTCTTCAAGGCAAGTTCAACAAAAGCTAAAATAAACAAATGGGACTGTGTCAAACTGAAAAGCTTTTGCATAGCAAAGGAAACCAAACAAAAAAGCAACTGAATAAGAGAAGATATTTGCAAATTGTATATCCAATAAGGGATTAATATCCAAAATATATAAAGAACTTACACAACTTAATGTCAAAAAGCAAGCACCCTAATTAAAAAATGAGCAGAGGACTTGAAAGGACCTGTTTCCAAAGAAGACATACAGTTGGCCAACAGGTACATGAAAAGATGCTGAACAGCATTAATCCTCAAGGAAATGCAAATCAAAACCAACATGAAGTATCACCTCACACCAGTCAGATTGGCAATTATCAGAAAGATAAGAAGTAAGTGTTGGCAAGGATGTGGAGAAAAGAGAACCCTTGTATAGCATTGGTGGGAATGAAAACTGGTACAACCACTATGGAAAACAGTATGGAGGTTCCTCAAAAAATTAAAAATAGGACTACCACACAGTCTAGCAATTCCACCTCTAGGTATTTATCTGGAAAAAAAACATCAATTTGAAAAGATATATGCACACATATGTTCATTGTAGTGTTATTTACAACAGCCAAGATATTCCAACAACCTGTGTCCATCAATGGGTGAATGGCTAAAGAAGATACGGTGTGTGTGCATGTGTGTATATGTATATGTATACGTGTGTGTGTAGGAATATATATAGGAATGTTACTCAGTCATAAAAAACAAAGAAAAAATCTGGCCATTTGCAATAACATGGATGGACCTAGAAGGTCTGATTCTTGATTTCAGCTCAGGTCATGATCCCAGGGTCATGGGATTAAGCCCAGTACAGAGCCTGTTGGCATTCTCTCTCTCTCTCTCTCTCTCTCTCTCTCTCTCTCTCTCTCTCTCTCCCTCTTCCTCTCCCTCCTTCTCCCTCCCTCTCCCTCTCCCTCCCTCTCCCTCTCTCCTTCTTGCTATCTCTCTCCGTCTCTCTCCCTCCCCCTCTCCCTCTCTCTCTCTCTCTCTCTCTCTCTCTCTTTCTCTCTCCCCCTCTGCCCCTCTCCCCCACTTGCACTCCTTTGGTCTTGCTCCAAAAAAATTAAAAAATAATTTAAAAATAATATTATGCACGTAATGAAAAGAAAAATATATCTTTTAAAATGTGAGTGAAGTTTTTGGCTAAGAACACTCAGCCAAATTCTCTAAACCATTTCTCTCCTTTTTGAATCAATTTGTTAATAATTAACTCTCAAGTTTGGCATGCAATTTCCTTATTGGAGTTTTTCCAGCTTATCAGTGTGGATCCTTAGATACCATTAATTTTCGTTGCTAAGAGAGGCTTTAGAAATGAACCTCTAAACCTGATTATGATCATAATTACCATTCAGTAAATGAATTTTTATTTTTAAACAAGGGGTCTGTGTAGGTTTACAAATCGACCCATCTAACATCACCACATCTTTGGGTGAGGGACAAAGAACTCTGCCTGTTACTCCACATGGACATCTGGATAGAGGCAAGAAAGGTTTAGAGTTAAATATTTTGAAGACAATTTCATAATTTGTCCAATAGCTAATTTATGCATAAAAGACAGCCGTGTAACACCTTAATTAATCAGGTCTGTTGAGCAGAGATTGAGGACTCAGAGAAAAGTAAATAGAAATGAAGAGCCTATTTCAATCGGGATTGGCCAGAAATCCCTTTCTGTTCCCGCCCTTGAGGAAAATCTTTCTAAAGGGGGTTTGGTCAACTGATGAATAAAATTACAGATACAGAATTCACAATGGTGCAAAATGGATCTATCCTTCTGGGTCTTTTCAGGCTTAGGGCCCATCCTTTGCATCTTAATTTCATTCCTCAAGAAAAGGAGAATGGTATAACGAAGAGAGTGTGGGCTTTGGAACCAATCTTAGCTCAAGTTCTGGTTCAGCTGCTCACCACCTTTGAATAC